CTGTTAAATGTTGCACCTTATCTCACCCATATTTTATGGGCAGGGCAGTACGCAGGATTTTTTTCACCAGGGGGCAGTAAGGCCTATATGCCAAAAAAGTCCAAAATACATGTACCCAAAGAATAATTAATGTCATTCTAAAAATCGTAAATATATTTTTTCTAGGGGGGCACTTGCCCCTCCCTGCTGTGTATGGCCCCTGTTTATGGGGGTGTTTATATGAGCTCTACAGGAATGACTGGCCCTCCTAGGCAAGATCCTGCATGCTATTTGAAATCCTTAGGCAAAAAATGTGGGTTTCCGGTTTCCCAACCCTACCTAGCTTTTGGACACCAAAATCTTGACCCTACTTCTGATCATGCTTGTAAGTGTTTCCACTTAGAGGAAAACGTTTGTGGAAAATTGAGGCAATATTAGGGAAATTTATCTTTGGATGTGGAAGCACTGACAAACAAAATGGCCTCCGGTTGTTTATAGGAAAATAAAAAAAAAGGTTAAAAAAAAAGTTTAAACTGACCTACCCTACCTAAGTTTTTACAAGAAGAAATAGAGAAACCCACATATTTTTTTGGCCTTATTGAAATTTGTTTTCACTTATGTGGGAAAAGGGCCAACCCTCATAGGCGAGATCTCATTATAATATTAAACTACCCACGAGCTCGCCTACAGTAGTAGGGCCAGTGAACTGAAGTAGGCCTGGATATTTCCCATATAAGGGGGAGCATCCATACTCAATTTGCCACGAGAAACGTCAATTTGACGTTTCTTTTTCATACCCACCCACCCACCCACCCTAGAAACGTCGATCCCGTGGCAAGAAAAAAAAACAAGTGTGAATGCTCAAAAATACTTGTATTATTAAACAAACATAACAAATAAGTATAAAGCCTTGATTTACCGTCTGGCAAAGTAAGAAAGTTTTTGTTTTGTATATTTTCCTTGACCAGGGAAAGTATTGTACAGGTTTGTGTTTTTAAAGTACGTATTACAAATAGAATTTTATATTATACAAAAGAATTTTATATTGTACTTTTATAATATTCAAAAGTGTCAAACTGCCACAGGAAAAACGTGAAAGAAAATAACTCACACACCCACAAACGTCAAATTGACGTTTCTCGTGGCAAGTTGAGTATGGATGCTCCCCCTAAATGCAACATGGAGGGCTAGCCCTGTAAGAAAACCACCGTATTCGTCTTATCCGTCTCAAACTCGGCTTTTAGAATTATTTTTTCACTTTAAATATTTAGCTTTTCAACAATATTCAATTGTATGATAGTTGTTCGCTGGAATTTTTTCAGAAAAACACAATAGATGAGCTGCAAGGAAGCCATTTAAGTGTTGTTTAACTTGTTTACGCAAACGAGCCAAGAGGGCTGATTTTATCACGTAAACACGAGGTGAAAACCAGCCCTACATGCAGGGCTCATGCAAACACCCCCTAAATTGCCTTTACAGTTTGACCAGTGACCACGTACCTTGTTAATTCATTTTCGAACGTTGCTTGTAGTTTATCCCGCAGTTCTTGCTCGGACCAGTTTTTGTTTACATGGAAACCATCCATAATGAGCCCTTTGTTATTAAGTTCAACTTTAGTACTGAATTTGGGCACATTACTGTAACTTGGTGAGGGCAAAAGAACTACTTCTTTTAATGTAAATGAATCCGACTTGACTTTGTCCTTGCATGGTTGCACATAGGGTGATGCACAACGCCGTTGCGGTCTCACTTGACGATTTCGACTTTGTGCCCGGAGCGTACATTGTCCATAATTTTCAGTTGGGTGAAAATATTGTGACAGAGGACCAACGTTTGATCGTTGAGCTCTTCTCGTTTCTACTGGAAGAGAGAAAGAGCTTGACTGAGTCGATTCGGCACTTTGTTCGGTACTTGTGGCATTACGCGGAAGAGAATACCGTCTTCTGACTTCTTCCTCCACAGTTGTCGCGGATTGCTGTGCAGGTGCCCCACTTGTACTAAGAGCATTGGCTTCTGCTGGCCTTGTTCTTGTCCCATTGACCGTATTAACAATTCTTCTGACAAGTCCTTCTAAATTATCCATCTTTTAATATGTAAAAAATACTGATTCATGAAATTTATGTTTGGAAAAATGCGGGAAAACATTGTTTCCACTTCTGTTGTTTGGAATTCCATGGCTACAAAATTTTCGCGCCAATTTTCCCGTCAAGCGAGACTAGGCGCTAGTTGATTGGGAAGTCAATTCTCACCACTTGATGTAAAAATATTTATTCGCAACTTGATGTATAAAAATGCAAACATAAAAATATACATTTTAGTTGACATATTTAAAACAATGACTTGATATAAAAAATGGTGCAATTTGACAAGATATTTAAACTTGATATAAAATTTGGTACAACTTGACATAATATTTTGACTTGACATAAAAATTGTTTTCTTTGACATAATATTTTAACTTGATATAAAAATTTGTCCAACTTGACACCTTCGGAAAAGCATAGTATCATAAATTATAAAATAACATGTATATAATGCGTATTCTGATTGGTCGAAAGCCGTGTTTGGATCAGGCCATCCAAACACGGAAGACTACCGTGTTGTTGTTATTTTATAAAACAATTACTTTATGGTTTCCGTGTTTGGATGGACTGATCCAAACACTTGGGAATGTTGCTCGAGTTAAGAAAAGCGGGCAAAATCACTCGCCTTCGGCTCGTGATTTCGCTCGCTTTTCTTAACTCTCGCAACATTCCCGTGTGTTTGGATCAGGCCATCCAAACACGGAAACCATAAAGTAATTGTATAATATGGTGGAAAATATTTCTTTAGAAAAAATATAACGCAACAATTAGCAAAGACTCTTAATTCACGTTTAACAGTTATGAGTTATACCGACACTAATGGAATTTGAGAAAATGGGAAACATGACAGCCAGAGGGTTTTCACACAATTTCTTGTTTTCCCAATTTCCACAAGTGTCGATATAACTATATCAATATGGAAAAATATTTTATTATTTTTATAATATAGCACAAAGAAATATAAAGAAAGAAATGTTCCATGTTGACATTGAGTTATATCAACATGGATCTTAGCCAATCAGCGTTCAAACAAGTTCACTGTCAGTCATGTTGACATTGAGTTACATCAACATGACTCTTAGCCAATCAGCGTTCAGAATTTATATATTATTCATTAATGTTCATTCCCTTTGCTGTGCATTCATAACTCCTTTTGTTTCTGTGCTTGGATATTGCTTTCTTATATGCATGTATATACATGCAGCAAGAGGTCTTCCATCCCACATAACCACAAAGCCACTTTATAATCGATCTATAAGCCACTGCATGAAGGTACCTAAAAAGGTCCCAAAAGAAATTTAAAATGTGGGACTGATCATCCACGTTAAAAAAATGTAGTTGCTTTCAGTTCAAATTTGCAATTGCTCACTCAATCCTTCAGATTGATGAGGACAAATTGAGAAGAGGTGAGTCCTGTCAGGCAAAATTTCACTGTTTATATCATTTTAACCCATTTGGGTAAGGACTTCCATTCACAAAGTAGGGTGTATCGAGAAACGTTGCAGATTATTATATAATTTGAAAACATCCAGGACAGTTTTCAAAGTTGATGTTTATATGCATGTCAATTCATTGTATTAAATGAAAATTACATATCAGGGGAATTGCTCTCGTTTTCCAGGTTTGCTCTATGTGTTGACTATGTCTTTGGCTGCTCATATAAAACTGACTCATTCATGGTATAAATTGAAGGTATACCATACTATACACCTTTCTCAACAAGATGGTTTATACAGAATCATTTGCCAAAGTTTACAACAAAAATAAAAAAGAGCTGATTTTTTCTTACTTGTTGTCCACACGAAACCCGTTTCGTTGTTTATAACGTACACCACTTTTTGTAACTAATAGTGGTCCAACATTTTTTAAGACCGCTTCAGGCCTTAAAATATCGGTCAGTCACTGACATTGTCTGACCCATTCGTGAAATTGTCCAACGTAAAGAGGAAACCACGGGACATTCTGTCTGACCGAAGTGAAACTGAGGTTTATTGGTTTGTCCGACCCGAGTGTATTGGTGTCCGACCAACTGTAGCTTTGTTGAACGTAAATCAAAATGTACCCTAGTCTCGTATGCTAAATGGAGAATCAGAGTAGTGCATAAAAAGTGAACTGGAAATGTTTTAATTAATGTATCGAGGGGCGACAAATGAAATGGTGAAAGTGGAAAATGGGCTTAAGTTGTCGAACATTACTGCTTTTCTTGGCAAGCAAGTTAATTTTGGCTTGGAAATTAACAGGTCCACAACATTTGCCGTTCAGAATTAATAGATTGTGCTGATATTAATATGTGTCATTCAGACTTATTTCCGAGACAAACTGAACTGAAGGTCATCGGACATCATCAAACATATATCCGACCCAAACTCAAAGTCATCAGACATTTTGTCAGACAGCCCTGTAAAAGATATTTTAAGGCCTGCGCTTCATGGGTTATTGGCAAGTATTCCCTCTGTTCTGTTATACACGAACGTAAATTTCTGCAAACATTCGCCGATTTCTTTGCAGCAATGATATTCCCTGGCATTTGCAAGCAGCTCAACACTACAGTGTCCACAGTGGCACCTTTTGTTCACAAAAAATATAAACAGAGTCAGAGTTCACAAAGACATTCCCCAAAATATTTTGAATTATTTTAATTTCGTTTTAATTTAAGCCTGAAGTGACGATTTAAATAATAATCAAGGCGACTTACCATGAATTTACTGGGATAATTCCGTCAAATCTTTGGGCAATAGTAACTGAAGGAATGCCATCTTCATCGTCTGTTTGCTCATTGCTTGAATATTCGTCACTAGTGCTTGCTAATGGTTCATTAGAGTATGCTTGAACAACAGATGATTGTTCAAATACATCCTCACTATCTGATGAGTCTATTTGTGACTCTTCACCTTCATTTGCCATGGAATACACACAGGAGTCCGAGGAAGAATCACTTTCTTCCATCTTGTTTATATGAACATAGACTCATGAACACATGCCATGTCCATACGCCTATGTCGCAAGTCAAAACTCGGTCCCAGTGTTTCGTAATTTTTTATCAAATTTCTGCAAGTAAAAACTCAGTCCCAGTGTTTTGTAATGTTTTATCAAATTTCTGCTATTTAGCCAAGATTCACAAGCTTCTAACGCAAGTAGAATTTATCAGAATGATACCAAATTTTTCACAGTGATTTTAGAGTATTAAAGGTTTTACTTTGTGTCGAAACAGTTAATTTTTTTATTTCATGTCACAGACACTTTAAATAGACTATTTTATACATATCTGCAAATTGTAATCCTGAATTCCTGTTTATGTAAAATAGGATTAAAATAGTGTATTTTATTATATTTTGCAAATTAGGGATAGTAAATAGGTTTAAAATAGTATATTTTATCCCTATTTGAAAAATGTGGCATTTTTAAAAATTTGAAATAGATTTAAAATAGTCCATTTTGTTCGGTTTTGCATATTCTAAAAATTTACTAGCTTTAAAATACTATATTTTATATCTATTTTAATTTATGTAATTTTCTGCAGGTGGAAAATATGTTTCAAATAGTCTATTTTATTGTTATTTTACTAACTATAAAAGAAAGAGAGGATTAAAATAGTATATTTTATTTCTGTTTGAAGTTTGTGCATTTAACTTGCAAAGTGTAAAATAGGATTTAAACACCCTATTTTATTTTAAGAGTTTAAAAATAGTATATTTTATATCTATTTTAATTTCTAACTGCTTTTCAGTGTAGTAAAATAGAATTTAAATAGGCTATTTTAAAGAATGAGTCTCAGGGTAATGCTTTGCGCGCTTGGTCACAGCTTGTCGGCCATTTTAGGGTGCCCTGAAAATGGCTGCTTTCGTATATTAGGAGTTGAGTGACTAAATCCTCGAATATCCGAACAACTTTCATCATAAATTATTCATTATTCCTGAATTTCTGGGCTGTGAATATATGGCTTGACATACTGTTAAGCATTTCATAATATTTATTCGTAATAAACGACAAATTGAAGTCTATAGTGTGACGGTGTTTATAATATGTATATAATAAAAGAATAATACCGATCATGTCTTCGTCTGGTGCATCGCCGCCAAAGCGTGGAAGGCCAAGAGATGAGATAGGATTTGTGCGCATAAAATTAAAGAAGGACGTACATGAGATGTGGATTACGAGAAAAGATTCTATTGGATTCTCAACGAAGACACATAGTGATTTTGCACGGCACTTGCTTCTGAATTTTTGCGAAGACGAGCCTTTGCAATCAATGGAATCTCCAGGCGATGGTAAATACTACATATTTGTTATTTAATAATGCAATTAATTTCTTTATATTTTAAAATGATTTGTTATCTACGTCCTATATGATCATATATTTTGTATATTACACTTCAGATCGACCCTTGCCATATGTTCTGTCTTCAACACCTGTTGGTAAAGGCAAACCTGATCGAAATTTGTGTTTGTCACCCATTGTCCATGAGACTGACAATGACATGTGAGTGTTGAAAATAATAGAACGTAAGAAATACGGTGGATATTATCCTTTAAATGCTTTAATAGTAGTGCCTTGTTGCCGAACATGATGTCACATTATTAATGTGTTCTTCCTTGACCTTGAATAACAGAATAAGCCAGTAAGGGGCTGTTTATATCGAAGCCAGGCTGATCGGCCAGGTAAGCAGGATAAATGTCTCTTCTGTTTATATGAGAAACTTTTATACTGCTTGCCAGGAAAATTTTTTTTTGACAGTTAAAAATAGCTTGCAGCGGCATCTTTGAACTGTCATCCCTGCAACCGGGCCAGCTTGTTTGTTCGTGTTTAGATAGAGAAATCTTTATTCTGGCAAGTGACATCTCACCTCTTTCAAATGGTAATTTTTACTATAAAAATAACTGCACAGTGAGATCTCACCACAGTATAGGGAGACGACCAGTAGCGCTACTTAGGAAAGAAAAGTGGGAATTATTTAAGCTAGGTCCCAGGTGTCTTACACAGCCAAAATCATTATTCTGTAATACAATTTTATAGTGAACTGCTGCCGTTGGCTGCTAATATGTAAATTAGGTTGGCAGCCAGTAAACAATGTGGACACTTTTTTACGCTGAGTGGCCCTACTGTAGTTTTCCTATACTGCGATCTCGTTTACCAGGCTGTCTCCTGACTAAGAAGGCCAACCCGGTTCCATACAAAGTCTTGAGTTATATAGCAACTGGTATATTGTATCTTATCTATTTTGTTCTTTATTATCGTTTGGCTCATTTTGGCTATTTCACATAGTTGGACGTGCTCCTGTCATGAGAGCTACTACTAAAATGAAACCAGGTTTACTGGAAATCAGGGTTAGTGTAATTTACTTTCCCAAACAGAGCCATGGATGTTGCACCTATATCTGCTAGTCTTGATGTGAGCAGAATTGAGAGTCTTTCCATATCTGTCAATCCTGAATTTGGATTATACCATGAAGACCCTTCATTCGAGAGTGATAGCACAAGTTCGGAATCAGATCATGATACAAGGTAATTATTACTTGCATAGTTGTATTCACAATTTAGTTAATAAGTAGCAGCATCTTTTGAGTTTTGATGGCAAATCAAATAGTATGCAATGAGTCATCTGATAAAAAAATCCACACTTCCCAACACTTTCCCATTCCCCCTTTGGGATGTTCTAGTACATTTTATTAACCAAAAAGGATTCCTCATTTCCTATCATCCTCTACTGGATTCTAAAAATTTTCTTTTACCTTTTCCCAAATATTTATTCACTTTTACATGTAAACCTTTTATTAATAGTTCCTGTGATTCAAGTGAATATGATAGTGGATCTGAAGATGGCCAGTGCATTTATGATGTTCAAGGGTAAGAGAGAACTATCAGATCACTTGTAACATCTTCACTGAAATCCACTTCCTAGTTTCTACTGTACTGATTGTGAACATGACCTTCATTTCCCATATTTATAGTAACAATGAACACCTCTCCATTTGGTATTATGTACAGTACTCTTATAAACCTTTTGTTTGTTTGATGTTCAAATATTGTCTGTTTTATAGATTTGCAGAAGAGTATGATCCTGAAGCAACACTAAGTGCCATAGAAGATGAAGAGTGTGATCCTGAAGCAACATTAAGTTCAACGGAAGATGACATGCTTGACACAACTCTTAATATTACAAGAGGAGAAGAAGATATGGATGTTAGTAGTTTAGAAGATGATAACGACAAGCCTCAAAAAGCTGAATCACTTCAAGAAAGAAATGAAAGGCTGGCAGAAGAAATGCAGAATGCATTTAATGTCCTGGCTGGTTTAGGTAACCATAACAAAATGTGCAGTGAGCATTTTCGGAGAGATCGTGTTGTCGTTGATGTGCCTTTGTTATTGAAAGTATTTAACAGTGGTTGCCAATGCTTATCTTGTTCGGGAACAAGTCAAGTGGAAAATACTAAAATGGAAGGTGGTGTTTTGACAATATCATGGAAGTGTTCTGAAGGTCATCTTGGATGTTGGACATCTTCCAAAGTACTGTGTCAGAAAAATGGTCAAAATGTACATACAAATACGTTGTTGATGGCAGCTGGCATTTTCATATCTGGAAACAATTATGACAAATTGGCTTTATTTTGTCGATTTTTGGGGCTTGGACTAGTAGGCCTATCAAAGGCAACTTATAACAGGATGCAAACACATTTTATTATTCCTGAGGTTAAGAGATATTGGGAGCAAATGAAGGATGAATTGTGGGATATTTTGTCAAGTGAATCTGTTGTCTTGTGTGTTGATGGGCGGAATGATTCCCCAGGACATAGTTCAAAGTACTGCATGTATGCTTTGATGGAGCAGCATCTTGATGTTATTGTTGACGTAGAAGTGGTGGACAAACGTCAAACAGGAGGTATCTCAACAAATATGGAAGTCTTCGGTTTGAGGAAAATACTTGAAAGAATGGTTGGTGAAATTGTTGTTTCTGAAATGGTTACAGATGCTTCAGCTGCAGTTATTGCATTGGTTCGAAAGGTGAAAGGTAACACATCTCAATGTTATGGCATTTTCATTTAGATTTGACAGATATATTAGTGGGTCATTCGGGAAAAGATTTGCAGTCTATAAAGTTCATAATTAATGTTATTATCAAGAATACTGATTTACAAAACTATTATATATATATATATATATATATATATATATATATATATATATATATATATATATATATATATATATATTCTTTTTAAATGTTTAGAACCAATGAGTATATTTTTAACAAAATACAAAACAAGTGAAACTCGAAGTTTCACTTGTTTTGTATATTCTCCTTATCATATTACCAGTGATGTTTTCCAGGGGGAACGCGGGGGAACGCCGTCCCCCACCTTTTTTACCAGGGGAACGGCGTCCCCCCTACCAAAATAAAACGTGGGGGAACGCCGTTCCCCCTGGCAGGGATTAAATATGAGTGAAGTTCAGTGAACACCGCTTGACACCATCCAAATAACTTTGGCATCACTTGTTCTACATACGTGTTATTTTTGGCAATAATTGCTCAGCGTCCTACGTAGACATATTTCAGAACGTAATTGTGTCACTATTTTAATGTCCCTGAAACTTGATATACTTGCATAAAATTCTAGCAGACTAGCACAAAAATACGAGAGTCTGATAATTGACGTCCGCTTAGATAAGTACTTACCAGTCATAAGCGCAGTTAACGTCTCTCGCGCAATCGCGAAATTGAACATTCAAATGAACAATAAAATGATCAATGGGGACATAAAATTATTCAATAAGAATATTAACATGATTGAATGGATAGGATAAAAGTATAGCTATCATCTAAGCTTATTTAGTTACTCGCGGAAACGTCATATTCAACTTGCAAAGTTACCAGTTTGCCGAATTACTCGCATAGCACTAATTGCATCATCGAAATTCGAAAGTCAACGTGGTTTTATTTGCTTTTAGACATCTACCACGTGCAAGCTAGGTGTTTGCTAGGTACATGTTGTAATAAATCCACTCCAAATATTAAGCTATTGCGTATGTACTTGTTCACTGTGACTATGCATAAAGCCACGCCCAATCGAGTGACCACGCCCATTTGATTTTCAAGACCGTCCCCCCACTTCTAAAATTAGCAAAACATCGCTGCATATTACCAAGTGAACAATAACACAACAGCCTGTTTCATCCAAGAGGAATCATCAGAAGCTGCCACCTGATGATTCCTCTTGGCTTCAGGCTGTTGTGGTATAGAACTGAGGTATAAAACTACATATCTACTCTTTTTTATATGAAGCACTCTATATAGGAGTGTTTTGGTTCACAAAATGCCAAAGAGTGCGCAATATCATAAAGATAAAGCAGATAATGTACTTTTTATCTCAAATAATATATGTATTATTTTTTTTAATTTGCCAGAGAAGCATCTCAAAGAGTTTGGCGATCTTTTTCATGCACTAGATGTCTGGCACAAATCTATCAAACTATCAAAGAAACTTGCCAAGGTATTTGATTTTTACCTTTGTGTGTTGTATGTCTGTGAATATGTTTAAATATACATACAAAAGTTGATAAATGGAAAATAATATTTTCCTACATTACTGTCATGTGAGCCATAACGGAAAAGCCATACAGGTATATAAGTTAATCATCTATGGTAAATCACTTATATACATATTATGCATAATTAGTAAAATTGGGAGGGTATAAATTGGGTTCGCCTGTAAAGTAGGATTATATTTGATGAAGACAATAAAGTCAAAACCTTATGTGTTGAGTTGATTAACTATATATATATATATATATATATATATATATATATATATATATATATATATATATATATATATATATATATATATATATATATATATATATATATATATATATATATATATACACTATATATATATATATATATATATATATATATATATATATATATATATAGCTTAAGATTTTGGTTTACGAAACACAAACAGTGCTCAATACCATATAGATAGAGCGTAATATAGTTTTTCGTTTTACCTCAAAAATCCACAACAGTCTGTTTCATCCGTATAGGAATCATCAGAGATGATTCCTATACGGATGATTCCTATACGGATGAAACAGACTGTTGTGGTTTTTTGAGGTAAAACGAAAAACTATATATATATATATATATATATATATATATATATATATATATATATATATATATATATATATATATATATATATATATATATATATATGCTGTTGGAGCGACCAGTACGTGGAATACATGATAGTTTTGGAGTTAAAGCTGTTCTAAAATTATTTTTAATATACTAGAATTTGTACAAAAAAAAGGACTAAAACAGTTCTAAATTCTCGGTTGCTAACTACAACCTTCATCAGAGTACTAAGAGCAGTTCGGATAGTACAAGGTTTTAAATATCGTCATTATATAAATACATGCGATCGTCAGCGATAAATACATGCGTGAGAATTCTTTGTGTTCGTTAATTGTTTTATTGTCTAATATTTAATGCATCGACTCGAGGAACGTTCGTTTTTCTAAATTGTGTACTCTTTTCTCTAAGATTGTAGCGTTGTTAATAGAGGCATTGTGTCCTTCTTGTCTTACTTAAAATGATTTTTGTCTCTACTCCGAGTTTCACGTATTACTGCGATCATCAGGAGACGTTCTTAAATACTGTTGGTTTTTCCTTGCTTGATGACGTGACTGTGCGCGCGCGCGAAGATTGTTGATGTTTGCTTTCAAGCGCGCAGACCACATTTCCAGCTAAAAATGATTTCTGGTGCACGCACTTCGAGAAGATTTCAGATCATTTGTTCAGCAGATTTTTGTCGCGAAATTTCGGTATGTGCCAAAACCTGGACGATGTACTGGACGATTGGCTGGACGATGGACTGGACGATGGACTGGACGATGGACTGGACTGGACGATGGACTGGAAGATGGACTGGACGATAGACTGGACGATGGACTGGAAGGTGGACTGGAAGATGGACTGGACGATGGACTGGACAATGGACTGGACGATAGACTGGACGATGGACTGGACGATGGACTGGACGATAGACTGGACGATGGACTGGAAGATAAACTGGAAGATGGACTGGACGATGGACTGGACGATGGACTGGACGATGGACTGGACGATGGACTGGACGATGGACTAGTCCAGGTTTTAGCACATGCCCGAAATTTCAGAATCAGGAGCTTCTATACATTAATGAAAAGCTGCTGATTCTGAAATATCGCGACAAATATCTGCTAAACAAACGATCTGAAATCTTCTCGAAGTGCCTACACCAGAAACAATTTTTAGCGGGAAATGTGGTCTCCGCGCGTGAAAGCAAACACCAACAATCTTTGCGCGCGCACACAGTCACGTCATCAAGCAAGGAAAAACCAAAGGTATTGAAGAATAATGTCTCCTGATGATCGCAGTAATGCGTGAAACTCGGAGTAGAGATAAAAACATTTTAAGTAAGAATAGTAATTAGGCTACATTCGCTCTACGAAATGTTATGTATTGAGCACTCTCTTTACTATACGTCACAAAACTTGTAATATTCTTCAGAAAAACGTTATATCTTCTCCGTCTCTTGCTTAAATACTCTAACATTTGCATACACATAAATTAGTTAAACCTCTTCCTTAAATTAAGCCCACCTGGCCCATAACTATTAAGTTTCTCAATCCAAAAGATCTCCGTCTCAGTGGGGTTATTAGAGAGTTTGGCAAACTAGAACGGCAACGACAACTGCAACGGGGAAAATATAATTGCTTATATTGTTGTATTTGAGCCAAATTATACGTTACTACACTTAATTTGCCTCTTTAAGTATTCCTGTTTCTTTCAAACGTACCCTTAAGTAAAAATTGTCCGCGAATTCAATAAAACTCTCAAATAACATCGAACGAATCAACTGTTGCCGTAGTCATGCACCGTGAAAATGATGCAAATCACGTATTATATTAGTTTCAACAACTACGGCATTGCACAACGCTTAAGACCATGTAATTTACATTCGCCTTTGTCTTTGAGGATTAATGCTATTGTTAATGACCATATTGCCGTTGCCGTTGCCCTTGTATTTGCCAAACTCTCTATTAATTAACGTCTGTGACGTAATAATTTAGATCTGAATGTCCCTCCCCCCAAGAATGGGCATACAATTGTTGCCCACAAATATTTCTCTGCCCCCGCCCATATCTATTTGTTATTAAATCGCAATCTGAACGGTGTTATAGTATTCCATACATATTGTAACCCACTGCATTTGCTAAATAATCAAATACACTATACCCTCCGAGTTGCAATCGAAGTGATGGTTAATTCAGAAAAACCGCCCCTCAACATGGCTTTTAAAGGTAGCACCAATAAAGTCATTGTCACACATTGTATATTTCTTCTTTCCGCACTTAAACATCCCTACGACCGTTTCCTCTTCCCTTCACAATTTAGAACGAACTAATTGATCTTTAAGGTTTTT